GAGAATTGTCACCTCGAACTTTCATGATATGAGAAATTTAATGTCTGTTGTTTTCGGATTGTTAAAAATGTCGTTTTGGGTACGCTAAAAAGGTAAGCTATCATTTTCGGAAAGGCGATAAGACCTAAGGGTTTCGGGAAATGGACCAAAAAGCCCTAATAAATTCGACAATACTCAAGTTCCCCTAGAATAACCGAACAGATAAAAATTTTTTTAGCGCAACCTAAAATTAACCTACAGAGCTTTAAAAGTACTCTACGTAGCCTAAAACAGCGTTTTAAAGCATACGAGAGAAAACGGTCGTTGGGTGCCCCTGATATATGTACATATGCAAAAGTTAGATAAAAATAAATGTGTCAAAATACCACGATAAATAAATAGTAATTCCTAGTTACAAGTTACTTTACTTATTTCACATATTTCAAATATTCAGATATTCAAAAATTTCAAATCTTCATTAATGGATTTAGTTAAATGTACTGAGGTTATAATTCAGCTTCTTTAATTTATTAATTAAATTAAATTATCAATTAAACAACGTGTGAATTAAGCAAGGTTGTTTGATGCTTTGAGTTTATATTGATTCTCGGTGAACCAATTGCTTTGTTTAATTTTAAATGTGAAAAATGGAAATAAGCAAGCCAAAAGTAAGGTCCACCATAAATATACAAAAAAACGACCGTGAGCAATACTTTTTTCCGGTTCAGTCGAACTGGCATTTTTGTTACACGTTGCTTCTTTTACAACTTGCTTGTAAATCCCTCAATGCTTGACTTTGTTTTGGATCCAGGAAAGCCTAACCTGCGTAGCAGGCACCCTATCCGAGCAATAGGGAACGAGCGAGGCGCTTATATGTAGGGCGGCCTTTTTCCGCGAGAACACGCGCGCACGTGTAGAAACGCGAGCGATAGGAAAGAGCGCCTGCAAGAGAAGGCCAAACACCGCTCAAACTCACCTTTTGTTACTCAAATACCCCCTTTTATCACTCAAGCGCGTGCTATGCAGATAATGAAACCGGAGTTACTAACAACTTGCATGCTCATTAATACATTTCAAAAATCGTCTATTCCCACGCGAGCCCTAGTCTCATTTCTCTCTTTGAGTTGTTTAGTGGCTTTTTTGAAGAACCATAAAGTTCACTTCAACCCGATCAAATAAGGGACTGCACAGAGGCTGAACTGAATTGTTCAAAAGGCCTGAAAACATCAACAGAGGCGGGAATGCACTGCAGTTTAGCGCTATATTGATGTCATTAAATTTTCATTCATCCCAAGCGACAAAATCATAAATGGAGAACTGCATGGAATCACTAAGTATTCGCCAATTGGTAAAAACGGGCTAATTGGGTACTACATCGGTACAGGATGCTTATTTTACTTGCATCTTAACTTGTTGTTTTCGTGGTCGGTTAGTCGACTGCCTTATTTAGAATATATTTAGAATATTTGAATTGCTCAATCAAATTAAAGAAGGCCGGTATATTGTAAAGCGCACGCATTAAAATGAGTAGCCATCATGGCAAAAAAAAGCTCTTTGACTGACTTAGGGCTTTTCAATCAAAGGGACTCCAGATGTACTATCGCGGGTAAATACAGTACAGGGATATGGGATCACAGTAAAACTCGGAGAAAGGCTAAAAAGGAGGACGAAGCCGCAATCATTAGTGGTCACCTGTTTTATACCCAAGAGAGACGAGAGACGAGTGAACTGACTGACGAGGTCACGAAAGTTATAAGGAAAAGGATTTCTAACCACAACTCGGTCTTGCATATTGCAACGCGTATTGTTATTCGTAGTCACGCTATAGGAGCCACGTCGTTGTCAGTTCCCAGTTTTCTGAGAACAACTCCGCGAGACCACGTGACTCTCCGTTAACCCGCACTGAGACGGACAAACTCCGTTGATGCTGACTTGTGTGATTTAACGCCCACACAAAAACGGTCTCTTGTAAGGAAATGCTACGAGTCTTTTTAGAAAGAAAATAATTGAAATAAAGACTTGCAAGCAGTACATTTTTGTTGTGATTAGTGATTGAGTGACTTCTGAACAGCGAGCATGAACACATCTGTTACGTCAGAGTTACATTCTTGAGAGTCACGATCAGTTTCCAAGATAAAATGACAATGGTTAAAATATTGCTCCATGATTGGTTTGTACAACGAAAAAGATTATCATATTAAAAACAGCCGATCCTTAGAAAAGCCAAGGACAAGAAGGCAGCGAGAAACATTACTTCGTTCTCTTGTTTCTGAAGACAAAATGGATATCAAAACGTTGCTCCATAATCTCCGTGAAGAAGTGTCTTGCTCGGTGTGTTCCGACATATTTACCGATCCAAAACATCTGCCATGCTTACACAGTTTCTGTCTGCGCTGCTTGAAACAATGGCATAGTACGAGCCATGGCTGCGACACCATCAGATGCCCGAAATGTCAAGCCGTTAGCAGAGTCCCTGAAAGTGGTGATCTGAAAGATCTTCCAACCAGTTTTTATCTGAATGGCTTGATTGATGTGCTGGAAATAAAAGAGTGCCGAAGTAGTCAAGGAAGATGCGGAAATTGTGAGAAGAAAAGTTCCGGGAATTCTTATTGTTTCCAGTGTTGCATGTTGTGTTGTCAAGAGTGCGTAACTGCGCACAACATCATGCGAAGTAATAATGATCACCGTGTTCTGGCGCTAAAAGATTTTGAAGAGAAGGACTATGAGGATGTGCTAAAGCGACCAGTTTTTTGCGCAAAGCAGCGGCACGAGAAAGAAGAGCTCAAGTATTTTTGTAAGAACTGCGAAAGGGCAGTTTGCCAAACTTGCGTTTTAATAGATCATCCTGGTCACGCTTTGGAGCACATAGAGGAAGAAGCCGAAAGACAAAAGTTTGAAATAAAATCAATGATTGAAACACAGAAGCATAATTTACAAGAAAAGATGAACGCTGTCAGTAAACTTGATGAAGACTACGCGAAGCTGATACAACATCGCGAAGAGGTGATGAGAGACGTTCAGAGGACTGTTGACAATTTAATTGCCAATATTGAAGCAAAGAAGCAAACAATTTTTGCAGCAATGGAAGACCAAGCAAAGAAGTCTCTTGAAAGTCTAATAACGCAAAAGACCGAGATCGAGCATCAAATAGAAGTGATCGAAACATTGTTGGATAAAGCTGATAAAGTTTTAACACGAAGTACAAACGCAGAAGTCGTTCAAGTGAAAAATTCATTAGAAACAATCTTGGAGGGAGTCGATCAAACTACTAAGCCAGCTGAGCGTGACCCGAAACGTCTGCCGATTTTGGTTTTCGTGGAAAATCAAAAAATGCTGGAGATGGTCAACACCGAAGAAATTGGAACACTAGAAATACTGCAGCAAACTGAAGCAAGTCAATCTGTCGTTGAAGGCAGAGGACTAGGAGAAGGAACTGTTGGATGTGAAGCACAGTTTGTTCTGACCACAAAAAACGCAGAGGGAAAACAGTGTCACAATAAACACGACCGTGTAATGGTAGAGATCAGGGACGAACAAGGACGAGAATGCGCGACGGAAGTGCGAATAAATGACAATAAGGATGGAAACTACAAGATTAGTTATTCACTCAAAGATCAAGGCAAATACAAAGTGACAGTAAGGGTAAACGGAAAAACCATTCGTGAAAGCCCTTTTTCTGTTGAGATGAAATTATTTCAATTCAGACCTGTTTTATCTTTTGGAACAGAGGGTTCGTCAGTTCGAATTTTAAACTATCCCTGGGGCGTGGCAGTAAATGCCAGGGACGAGATAGCTGTAACCGACTGTTTAAACCACAGAGCTCTAATCTTCAATAGTGATGGAAATTACTTAAGATCTTTTGGTCGGCAAGGTAGCAATGCGGGGGAATTTAAGTTTCCAAGGGGAATAACCTTTTCTAAAAATGGAAATGTTTTCGTAGCAGACAAAATTAACCACAGGATCCAGATTTTTAGTGGGGAGGGTGAGTACGTGGGTATGTTTGGTGGAAAAGGAAGCCTTGATAGTCAGCTCTATAATCCTTTAGGTCTATCTGTAGACAGTGATGGAAACATTATTGTTGCTGATACAGGTAACAAACTGATTAAGATCTTTTCTCCTGATGGCAAGTTTCTAATGAAGATAGGTGGGCAGGGTTCTTTTACTTTTCCTATCCACTGTGTTCAGTGCGATAGATATCTCATAGTGTCAGACTACCAAGAACATTGTATAAAGGTTTTCGATAGAAATGGAACCTTTCAGTACAAGTTTGGAAAACAGGGTGGAGGGGACGGGGAGTTTAATTATCTTAGCTGTTTGTCAGTGAACAAGTCAGGTCACCTGATGGTGTGTGATACAAGTAATTACAGAATACAAGTATTTCAACTGAGTGGGAAGTTTGTTGGTAAGTATGGAAGAGAGGGAAGCAGTCTTGGAGAATTTAAGTCTCCACAGTCTCTAGCAGTTCTTAGTAATAGTCGAATTGTTGTTTGTGACAGGAATAACAATCGTATTCAGATATTGTAGTGAGAATTTTCCTGTCCATACAAAAAAAAAAAAAAAAAAAAACGAGTTTTGTAGTTGGTTAATTTGCATTGTTCTGAAGTGATTCAAAACAGTTTTTTTTTAGTTTTCAGTTTGTTAATCCGCTTGAGAAAAAGTTACAGATGCGGGTATCATATCATGTTATTGTTGGAAACAATTATAAAGATTTATTTTAATGTAAGCTGGTAGGTTTAACTTCTCAGGGATTTTCTCTTTGTCAGGGGTGGAGTGGGGAAGGCAAGTCCGAAACTTTCGCTTTTGGTTAGGATGGATAACTAGTATTGCGTTCACATTAGGCCGAAAAAGGTTGAGTTCTTGCTTCCGGGAAAGTGTTCACTTTGCTGTAGCAAGCGTTGCCGCACGAAGAGCTTTTACCGCATCCTGGCCGCGCGCAAATTGGAGTGAGAGCAAAACAATCGACGAAGCAAACGTTGGTACCACCCGGCTTCGTCGATTTTTTTGCTCTCGCTCCAATTTG